TTTACTTAAATGTAATATATATGCTGTATGTATAATAGTTCATTGTTATATTTGCATATGCGCTTAGATTGTAATTTGTTTAAGTTTTTTGTTTTGTTTTGATTCATCAGTTGTATGTGTGGGTGTGTGTGTGTGTGTGTGTGTTTAGCAAATAAATTGATTTATGCCTCGAGTTATGCGAAATTCAATCTCTCAATTGCGCTCATAATGAATGCGATTTTTACTTTTCTTTTCACTTCTCTTCTTCTTCTTCTTCTTTTTTAACATATTTGTCTAACTAACCATATGAATTTGTTATTAATGAACACAAAAGAGTTTGCAAGTTAAAAACGAAACACACATTTGATTTAACAAATTATAGTTGAGCTGTTTCAACTCAGTTTTCTCTTCTTCTGCTTCTTCTTTTGGCCAATAATTTTTTCTTTTGGATTGTACTTTAAAATAAATTCATAATTCATAATTTGCATCTAAATATCTTCATCATATTTTTGATTTTTGATTTAGCAACGAGAAGAACTGAAATGTTTATATACTTATATACAGAGTATATAATATATGTATATATACGGACAGATATATCTCATCGATATAGAGACATCTTGCTCTCTCTCTCTCTGTCCTTATATATATTTATAGAGAGATATATCTGATACATATAGAGAGATCTCTCTCTCTCTCTCCCTCTCTATTTTYATATACTCTGTATTAGCAAATGTAGGGCATGCCCGACTTGCCTTAACAAATAAATTGCAAATTTTTGTTTGATCTTTTGATTTGTGTAATTCGTATTTTTGTCATCATTTTCTTCTTCATCGTTTGCTTTGTATATATTGCAGTTTGTACATATATATAATTATATATATGTGTATATATATATTTGTTAATCGACTTTTAACTTTAAAAGTTACAACTTAACTTTAAGCATAGCAATAATAATGTTAATAATCATTTTACTTGTAATAATACGCAATTAAATAATAACATATTTCGCTATTATTGCAACATTTGTAACTTTATTTGTTTTGGTTTTTAGTTATTAATTAATATA